GGCTTGATGGCGTCCCCCACATCCTCGTCCATGTGAATGTACATATTGAGCAGCTGCGGCAGGTAGAAGTCCACGTCCTCGTTCCTAAAGCAGAACAATCTATTCCCAATGTAAGCCTGCACGCCGGGTTCCTTTGAATTGTACAGGTATGAAATGGCCATGGAGATATCAAAGAGTTTGGATTCAAAGAGCCGCAGGAGCCAGGACTGCTTCGCCGAGTTGTTCTTCTGCCGCTTCCGGGCCGTCCTCACCGTGTTGGCCGCGGTCTCATCCTCCTCCTCCTGGATCCTGGAGGCCGTGCTGGGCAGATCGTCCAAGCAGCGGATCTCACAGCCCTCCACCAGCTCCCCGTTGGCCAGATCCCCGGCAGCCCGCAGGCCGCGCTCCGCCTCGCCGCCATCGCCCGCGTCGGTCGGGCTGTCCGAGGAGACGCCGTGCATCAGCTTCACCTTCTCCAGGACCTCCTCGCAGGCCTTCTTGGCCACCTCGGGGTCGATGACTGCCAGCTCCCCGACGCCCTCGGTGATGACGCTGAGGGCCGCCCCGTTGCCCTGCGGCACGCAGCCGGGCTCCACGCCGCTCCCTCGCGCTGGGTCTGCGATGGAGTCTCCCATAGCAGTGGTGGTCCTGCACCTTTCAGAGCTGGAAAAAAGACAAAAAAATGTGGTTAGGGATGCAGCTTCAACTGCGCAGGACGGAGCTCCCAGGGTGAGGGTCCTGCCCAAGAGCTGAGAGGAGCACTGGGGCAAACCAACAGCCTCCGTCGGTGCAGGACGTGCCCATGGAGGCAGCCAGTGGGTTCTGAGGGTCTTCCTGGTGCCCACCCAGGCTGGAGAGAGCTGTGTGCATCTCTGAGCCACGACACCAAATCTCTGTTACCATGACAATAAAAAAACCCGAGCAAGCCAAAAAGAGAAAGAGAAGGGGAAAGGAAGAACCAGGGTGCTTGGCAGGCAGTGAAGGGACCCCGCAGTGCTGGAGGCCGTCCTGCTCACACTGCTCCACTGCTGCCCTTCAGCTTCCAGCAGGATCAACACCAAAGGGAAAAGCTCCCGAGTGCCCAACCCGCACTGCCAGGGCAGCAACGAAGGGTTTTATTGCTGCAAGGTCCCTGCTCTCAAAGTCCAGGCACTAAAGCCTGGATGACACATCCTCGCCAATCGTTAGTGCTTAAAGACAATTTAAAAGCGAGATAAACGAGGGACTGAGCGCACCTTCTGGTTTCCTATCTTGATAACAAGAGCAGCGGGGCATCCCTGCAGAAAACCAGCCAGAATGATGGCAATGCCAAGAGAAGCAGCCTGCTAACACTGCCATAACATCCCTGCAGCTCACAGCCTGCAGGAGAGCACGGAGCACTGCGAGCAGATTGATGATTCCCTCCTGCTTTCCCCATTCAGCACAGTGGGAAAAATGAGAGCCTTCGGAGGAGTTGCTCAATGAAATATTTGCTGCTTCCATGCGACCCTCGGCCCAGCTGTGCTCCAGAAATTGCACCAGGAGGTTCCTGCAACGAGGTAATTCCCCGCTAATGGAATGACCTTGTGTTATCTGATTACTTCTGCAGGCGATTACAGCGGAGCAGCATAAGCCCTCGAGGAGGAGCACAGGGACGCCCCGCAGAGATCCAGCAGTGACCCGGCACTGCGGCGCCGCTCCCAACAGCTCTGTCCCAACCCCATTCCCTCCGCTGTCCCGTCTGCCCCTTCGCCCCAAGGCACTGGGAGAACCCTGCCCTCGGTTCCCCTCCCGCAGTCACCGTTTCCCATGCCACCACCCAGCGCCTGAGCCGGGAGCACCGGCGGCTTTACGCCGCGTCCCACCGGGCGCACGAGGCACCAGGACGGTGGGTGGGGGTGAGGGCCGGGCTGATGACAGCACAGCACCGGCCCCGACAGGCCAGCCCCGAGCCGGGGCGCGTGCCAACTTCCTCCTCCTGTCCCCAAAGCGCAGCAGCAGGGTAAAGGAACCCGACCAAAGTTCAGCAGTCGGAATCGATATGAATGGCATCTTTCACAGCAGCACCACACCGCATTTTCCTCTGTGCCTGCCATTCCCTTCGGTCCAAATCCCGCATGCCTCGAATAGTTGTGGTCATTAGATCCTAAAGACCCGGCAAGCACAAGGAAGTTGTTCTTCCTTCTTGGTGAGGCCGTGAAAACCCAAACAACCCAATTTTTAAATTAGCACCACTCAGGCAAAAGGGAGAACCCACAGCACAGCACGGGCAGGATCTGAGAAACCTCCTTTGGAGAAGGAAAGAGCAGGGAAGAAAGGAGTCCCAGGAGAGCTGTGCTCTTGGGGTGACCCAAAGCAACCCGTCCTTGGGGTCAGAGCTCAGCGCAGCAGGTGCTGTGCTCCCAGGTGGGCTCCTGGAGAGCTCCTGCCCCGCACAGAGGGACACACGGGCAGCCACGTCCCAACACCCAGAGTGAAACTGTCAGCACTGTCACTGCTTGCAGTCAGACAGCCCCGTCCTGCGGGAGTCCCCACGTGCTCCTAGGCACTGTTTGTGCAGCAGTGCTGGGCACTCAACCTGCCCAGCGCTCACGGCGAAGGCAGGACCGGATTCAAAGCACTGAAGCCCACTGACATCACTTCTCTCCACCATTTCCAGGTGACCACACTTCAAAACACAGTCACTACAACCACAGCCCCGATTCCCAAATCCTTTCCCACGTCAACCAGGAGCGCAAGGTTTGCTCCTGCGCCACGCACGCAGCCTTGCGCCCAAGGAGACGCAGCCGGGCAGAGATCTGCAAATGCTGAGTGGGTTAAACTTGGATTAAAGCACTGCACACAGCCCACAAATCCACCCCAGGGCTGCAGGGTTACCTCTGTGCTTTGCAATCCGTGCTCTGCGCTTCGGGTTCGCTCCTCGGCCTCCCCGCACCATCCCAGCTCCATCACAGACACGTGTCCCAAAATCCCCACGGAGGGAATTCACCTCTCTGCATTTTTCTGGGGCTCACGTCACCGTTTGCTCAACGTGTTCCAATGTGCTGCATCCCTCCCCGATCTCCTCCGTTCCAAACGGGTCTCACCAGGGAGGAAAAGCCCCATCGGCTCCGCACAACAAAGCGACGCAGCCTGGAGAACAGGCTGAGCCCAGTTCTGTGGCTCATCCTCCACCCACAGCCGCAGCAGGCCAAGTTTCTCTCTGGTGGAACTGTGCTGAAGTCAGTGATTAAACACAAAATAAAAGGAAGCTCCTATGAGCACAAAAGCAGTCGAGGCAGCGGCGTCAGCGCAGCTCCTTCGAGAAGGGACAAAAGCAAAGGGAGCTCGGCTGGAGCGGAGCTGTGCCTGCACAGGAAAGCCAAGTCTCTCTCCTGCCTGACTTGAATAAGAAATATTGGCCCTGGCAAAGCACCAGGAGCGCGGGATGAAGTCTCACCAAGACATCTGGTCTCTATTACGCCGCGGTACTTTTTGTTTTGCTCAGAGCTGATGGCCCTCCGCATCTCACTGTGCCTTCGGGAGGGTTTGGAGAGAGGCAGAGCAGCTCTGCGCTCCCTGCGGTGCCAGCGAGCTGAAGGGCTGGGGAAACTGAGGCATGAGGTGCCAGGATCCACTCAGCTCACAGCAGCACTCTGCACCAAAGCGGCAGCAAACAGATCCCTCTGGGGAGGCTGCTTCCTCTTTCAGGCCTGAAATCCCCTTCCCAGAGCCCCAGCACCGCTGTGGACACACTGCCAACCTCGCTCTGCTCGCAGCTGAAGTAGATTCAGCCCTCACGCAGCACACGTGGCTCACCCTGCATTACAAATAACAGCCCTACAGCCACAGTGGGAGCCCCCTCCTCCCTGTGATCACAGCTGCCTTGGACCTGAGCATTAATCACAGAACTGCAAGGCTGGGAAGGGAGCACTGGGGATCCTCACAGCCAGACCTGCTGCCAACACATCTGTTTGCTTGGGGTGATAGGATGGGGTGGAAGGGTCCTCAAAGATCACAGAACAGTGGGACCACAGCTCAGCTGGGCTGGAAGGTCCTCAAAGATCACAGAACCACGGGAGCACAGCACGGCTGGGTCCTTACGGAGCTCGGGCCGGCAGTGCTGAAGGGACCCCACAGCCCCGGCCCGGCCCGGGCGGCCCCATTTCCTCCCCACGGCCTCCCGACCCCCCCCGCCTCACCTGCAGCGCTGCGGACCCGCGGGGCGGCGGTGCGGAGCTCCGGGGCGGCCGCGCGGGGCTCCCGGGGCGGCTCATCCTGAGCCGAACGCTCTCGGTGCTCCGGGAAAGCGCCCCGAACCGAACGATTCGGCCTCCACGGCGCTCTCCGGAGCCGCTCGGGTCGGGGAAGCGGCGCTGGGCCCGGCGGAAGGCGGCGGCGGAGGCAGCGCAGGCCCCGGCGGCCCGGGCTGCCCGCGGCGCCGCCTGACGGGACGGGACGGGGCGGGGCCGGGCGGGGCGGGACAAAAGCACACAGCGCCCCCTGCCGGCCCGGAGGGATGTTGCGCGATGGAGGCGTGACCAATCGGGAGGCGTGGTTAGGGGAGAGGGGCGGGGCCGATGGCGGGCGGGGCTATCGGGAGGCGTGGGCGTGACCAAATGGAGATGGGCGGGGCGGTGGGGTGTGGCTAAAAGGGGGCGGGGCCCGAGGGCAGAGCAGCGTGGAGCTCCGGGTTTCACTGAATCCGCTGTTTTTCACCTCAAATCACCCCTTTGGGCGTTGTTGTTGGACCCAGAGGGGAAACTGAGGCACGCAGCTGCCATCCTGTGCCCCACCAATGCCGTGTGTCCCCACGGGGACTCCGTGCCACCCCAGGGATGGCACTACTAAAGGGAGGGTGACATTCCTTGTTTGGACAACGGCACCACATGGACAATGTCACCCTGATGGTGACACTCAGGAAATGGTGAACCCCTGGGACAGCGAGGTGACACCCAGTGACATTCCAGGGATGGTGACACCTGGGGATGGTGACAGTCAGGGGACAATGACACCAATAACGCCCCCACCCCCCGTCCTGGTGACACACAGACAGGCGGACGCACAGCGCTCAGTGTTTAATGGCAGGTGACAGCGACATGCGGTGATGAGGACACCCCGCTTCCAGCAGTGGGTCCCTATGTGCCCCCCGGGAACACAGGGCCATGTGGGGCTGTTGGCTCCGTCCCGGCTCCACATCCATCCCCACACAGCGCAGTGTCATTACTGTCCTCTCCTGCGACCCCGCTGCCACCCGGTGCCACGCTCAGAGTCTCCTCCTCCTGCAGCCCACGGCCATCCTGGATGACACTCACTTGGGTTGGGGACATCCCCACTGCGCCATCCGTGATGTCACCTCCATGGGCACCGTCACCTCCATGGCCACTGTCACCTCTGTGCCCACGGTCACCTCCATGGGCATTGCCCTCTCTGTGCCCATGGTCACCTCCGTGTGTGCTGTCACAGCGCTCAGACCCCACATCCGTCCCCTCGGCCGCATCCCCAGTGCGACCCGGTGACCCCACACCTCCTTCCTCCTCCTCCATCCTCTTCCTCGGCCGCCCGCGTCTGCGTTTGGCCCCGGCCTCGTGGGCCACCTCTGGGGACCGCTTGGTGGCCACAGGGCGCTGGGCTGAGCCTGGGGGGCCATCAGGGGCCGCTCCGCGGGGGCTGTCAGCTGCGGGCACAGCCACGCCAGGCAGCAGTACGTTGAGCCCGGGGGGCAGCGGGACAGCCACCTTCACGGTGCCCCCCAGTGGGGCGGCTGTCAGCTTGGGGGCCAGGACTGGAGGGGAAGAGCACACGGCTGTGGGGCCGGGTGGGACTCGGGGGAGGAGAAGGGGCAAACGGGCCATCAGCGCGTTCACCTGGGGGCTGCTTGGCGGCCGGGGCGGCTCCGGGGGCTTCTTCTTGTCAGGACGCGGTGGGATGGTGGCCTTGGGGACGCTGTCCTTCTTGGTCTGTGGGTGTGGATGCAGTGTGAGACGTGGACGTGGTGGGACACCAGGTGATGTGGGACACAAGGATGGGGACATAAAGAAAGCAGAGACATGGGGACAGGGACACAAGGAGGACAGGTCTGTAGGGACAGGGGATACAAGACAGGGACAGCTGGGGATGGGGGACAGCAGCGGATGGGGGGCATCGTGTTCCACGTGGCCTCACCTGTGCCAGGCTCCGCTCGCCTCCCTCCGAGGCCTCCAGGCCATTCCTCTTGGACAGTGGAGGAGAGCGGCCATCACGATGGGCCTTCTCTGTGCTCTCTGGGGACACGCAGTGAGACGCGAGGTGGGGAAGAGCCCCACTGAGTGGGGACAGTGCCCAAAGCCACCCCCACAGCCACTAAACTCCACACCCCCCACGGGGACACCCGCTAGGATCCCCCATCGGCCCACCTGAGACCACCATGGCCATGACGAGGTCGGCGCGGGCCGAGCGGGAGCTGATGATGTGCTGCTGGATGAGGAACTGCGCCACCTCCACGATGTTGTTGAAGGAACGTTTGAGGATCTTCTCGGCCCAGTCGCAGGTCAGGGCGCAGGCCGCTTCCATCACCTCGCTGGTGTAGGACTGCACCAGGTCTGTCAGCTCCGTGTGCTGCTGGTGGGACACCAACATCACCAACGGGGCCAACAACGCCACCGTCACCACTGTATGGGGACAGAGCGGAGCTCAACCCTCGCTCGCCCCACGGGAATGCATCCTCCTGCCCCACTCCTTTGAGCGTATCCCAATGAAGCAGAACACAGACCGGCATGGAGGACTTACAGTCTCTGCCACCTTGAGGTCCAGGCTGGGCAGTGGCGGCAGGCTGACCACCGTCTTCCTCCGGATGCCGCTGTAGCAGTACGTGTGTTGGGGTTAAGGGGCAACAAAACACATCTGGTACAGCTGACTGTGCACTGACCCCACGCACAGCACCAGGAGCCACCAACGCTGCCTGCTGCATGGAGACCCATCACGACAAAAGGATATTTCGATTGCCCGCGGCCTCCCAGCCTCCTGGCCTTGATGTTGGGGAAGATCTCCCGGATGATCTTCCCGAAGTTGGCGGCGCTCAGAGGGCGGCAGCAGAGATTATCGCAGTACTGCCTGGGGGGGAGGGTGGGTCAGAGCTGCCGACCCCTCCTCGCTGCTCCCATTCCGTGTTCCAAGAGCTGCTGTTGGGCATGGCCGTTCCCAACCAACCCAAGTGCCACCTGACCCCAGACAGAGCTCTGTGGGGCATTGCTGTGCTCACTTGTAGGATTTGCAGATGCCCTGCTTGGGCATGGCCATTCCCAACCAACCCCAAGTGCCTGCTGACCCCAAACTGAGCTCCATGGGGCACCACCACGCTCATCTGTCAGTGTTATAGATGACCTGCACTGAGCATGGCCATTCACAACCAACTCCAAGCACCCACTGCCCCCAGTCCAAGCCCCATGTGCTCTGCTCACCTGTAGGCATCGTAGACATCCTGCTTGGGCAGGCAGGTGTCTGTGTGCTCCTCCAGGTGGTTCCGGATCCAATTGCAGGCATGCATGTACTCAGCTGTGCTCAGTGAGCTCAGGTCCAGGCTGCTGCTGGGAATGATGGCATGGAGTGAGCGGATGGGGGTGATGGCTCGGGGAGGCAGACCCCCAGCACCCACCTCCTGTCCCCCAGGCTCGGCCCCGACGGCAGCTGGAGGTAGAGGTAGAGCTTGTCGCTGTCGGAGAACTTCTGGACATCTTGCTATGGGCGAAGGGTCCGAGCGGAGGGGAGGAGGGACCAGAGACAAAGAGAGGTGAAGGATCCAAAACAGAGCCAACATTCATGGAGCATTTGAAGCCAAAGGTTTGTGAGTATGGGCACAGCCTGCACGTGGGGTAAATGGGGCCGGAGGGACAGCAGGGGTTGCTCCATGTGGGGCTGAGGGAACGGGTGCTGAGCAGCTCCTGACTTCTATGGGATGTGGGATCGGGGAAATGGAGCTGGAAGAGGGGTTTGGATCATGGAGGGGTGGGCACATGGCACTCCCCCACCCACAGAGGCACTCACCAGGATGGCGTCGACTTTGTTCTGCACCGCTTTGCTGCAGGGGACAGACAGAAGGGACAGAAGAGACAGAAGGGACAAGGAAAAGGCATCAGGGCATGGGATGGCCTCACTCCGAGGACCCCCGCCCGCGTCCCGCTGTGCTCCTGAGGAGTTCTGCACCAATGTTCCCACCCAAAAAAGGCACCGACTCTCATCCCTTCCATCCACGGGGCTACAAATTCATCACCCCTGTAAAGTCAGACCCCGTTTGGGTCGCTCGGGTTATCGGGAGGGCGCTGCAGCCTTACGAGATGTTGCCCCGCAGTTTCTGCAGCAACGTGCTCGGCTCTGCCGCGCCGCTCCGGGAGCCGCCGGGTGACAAAGTGCCCTTCTTGGTGGCCTGGGGGCTCAGCTCCTCGTCGGCCATGGCATTGGGATCCTGGGCGGGGGGGGGGGGGGGAGGATGAAGAAATTCAGCCTCAAAATGGGGAGGGGAGCCCCTCAGAGCCCAAATCCTCCACTGGTACCCGCAGAGTTGGCTCTGCCCCCGGTGTCCCCACCCGGAGACGTGTCACCAGCAGTAGGGCGACGGGACGCAGGAGGACAGCGGGCAGCGCAGCCCGGCATGGGCCGGGGACGGCAACGGGGGGACGGATGGGAAACGGGAACGGGGACACCGGGCTATAAAGGACGTGAGGACGGGGGACACCACGGCACAGAGGGGTGGGGACGGGGGGTGGGGACATGGGAACGGGGGACAGCAAGGGGTGGGGACGGCAGGGACCCCCGGAGCCAGCAGCTCCCGGCGGACGGTGGGACCCGAAGGCGCGGGGACTGCAGCGGTGACCGCGACCCCAGCCGCGCTGCGCCCCCCGGCCCGCACCCACCTGCGGGCTCTGCTCTGCCCCGTCCCGTCCCGTCCCGCTCCTCCTCGTGCCGCCGCCTCCCCGCGCACCGGGAACCGAAAGTGCTGCGCCTCTCGTCGGGCCGCCGGCAGCTTTTTTCTGATTGGCTGCAGCGCCGCAGATCTGCCCGGATACTGCGCCGTGCTTTAATGTGATTGGCTGCTAGCGGCTGTCCTACCCGGATACAAGCAGGGCTGCGCTGCTGAGTGGCGGCGCTAGAGCTGAAGTCTGCCTAGCAACAGCTCCTGATTGGTGGAGTGGAGGGAGGGGATGTGGGGGTAAACGAGCGATGTGCGTGCAGCGTGCGTGCAATATGCGTGCAGAGTGCGAGCAGCGTGTGTACGGTGTGCATGCAGTGTGCATGCAGTGTGCGCAGTGTGCGAGCAACGTGTGCACAGCAACGTGTGCAGTGTGCAGCACGTGCACACCTGCAGTGTGTGCCAGGCTGAGCTGGCAGTGTGTGCATGCACAGCAACAGGGCTCAGCTTTTGGGGGGCAAACAGAAGTAGAAGAAAGGATGGAGATGAGGGAGTTCTGGTGCAGAGGTCTCTGCTTTATTGTGGGGTGCTCAGGGTTGATCGCTGCACCCTCTGTTGGCACGGGGGGACCCCAGGGCTGCAGGGTGGGCTGGGATGCAGGTGTGGGATGTGGGGCATGGGATACGGGGTGCAAAATGCAAGATAGAGGATGTGGGGTGTAGGGAATGGGATGCATTGTGTGGGGCACAGGAAGCTTTTGGGTGAGCACAGCTGTGGACCTCGAGCTTCTTTATCCAGCTGTGCCCTCAGCACCGCTGTGGGGCAGCACCCGTCAATGGGAGGTGGCGGCGGGCGGCCCTAAACCCAAATGTCAGAGGTGCAATCCCCACCGGGGTAGCGCATCTCGTGTGCCATGCAGGGCCCTCCCGGCTCCTTCCCGAAATCCACCAGGAAGTCGCGGTTGACGCTCAAACCGCCCCTCTCCGTGTCCACGTCGATCTGCAGCATGACGGAGCCGTCCCTGCGGGGGGCACTGGGGGTCAGGGGGCACAGCCCCTCCAGCAGCACTGAGCGCCGCGGTCGGACGCCCAGCCGCTCCCACCTGATGAGGTCGGGGTAGAACTGTCGGTCCCAGGCGCTGTACAGCGACGTGGTGACGTAGAGCCGCTTCCCGTCCAGGCTGAGCTGGATCATCTGAGGGCCCCCCGGCACCTTCTTGCCCTGCGGGAGGCGGAGGGGAGGCGCGGTGAGCAGTGGATGGTGGAGCGGAACCAGAGGGTCCTCTGTGCCCGACCGTGGCGTTGTCCCATAGGACATGGTGGAGCATAACCAGGACCTCACCACGGGGCCTCGCTGTCTTCCCATGGGTCGTGGTAGAAAACTGTGCCACCTCAACCATGGCGTCATCCCATGGGATGCGGTGGAGAACCACCAGAACCTTTCACTTGGCCACAGTGTCATCCCATGGGAAACGTGGAGGAGAGCATGGGGCCCTTGCCACCCAACCATGCTGTTGTCCCATGGGACATGGTGGAAAGCCAGCAGAGCCTTGCCACCCACCCATGATGTCATCTCATTGGATGCAGAACCAGGGGAATTGGGTGCTCCCCATCCTCACCACCACAGCCTCACGTAGTTGGAGGCTCAAGATGGAGGTGGGAAGAGCAAAGTGCTCACCTGGATGACAAAGGGCTCCGGCTGGCTCTGCAGCTCCTCATCTCTGAGCACGACCACGGGCCCTCCCTTGGAGATGCTGCCCCCCACAAAGACCTGCAAGAGAGAGGTGGCACGGTGGTGGCACGGGACCCGTCTGCCCCCGGGCAATGGGGCGAGCTGCTGCCTCACCTGTCCTACCAGCCTGGGCCTGCGGGTGTCAGAGATGTCATACTGGCGGACATCTCCGTGTATCCAGTTGCTGAAGTAGAGGAACCTGTCGTCCAGCGAGATGAGGATGTCGGTGATGAAGCCTTGGGGATGGCACGGCACAGTTGCACACGAGCGGCGTGGCGGGCAGCAGGCACACAGCAGCTCGTGGGGAAACACTCACCTGGCATATCCGGGAGCAGCCAGCCCTCCACCTTCTTGCTAGGGACCTGGATCACCTTCTCAGCTGCCCAGTCACCACACTGCGGGACAGAATGCGGCCCCACAGGGCTCAGAGTGGGCAGGAGGAGACCCCAGGGTGGGGGACGCCATGTGTGCGTGCAGCAGAGGGATGCAAAGCTCGTGCCTGGCTCTATAGGGCCAGCAGAGGAGCCGGGACCTGAGGCAGGGCTGTGGGGCCTGGAACCTGTCTGTCTTTCCAACTGGATTAACTGGTTTGGGCAAAGAGGTTCTCCTCGCCCGGTTTGTTGTTACGCACAATAAGCACTGAGAGCATTGCTCACACTGTATAAATCCACAACCAAGGTTTAAATCCTCCAAATCCCATTGTCCCAACATAAACCACTGCTGGTCAGAACAGGTCCTGCAGCTGCAGCCTGGATGGCATCCCGGTGCAGGGCAGCATCCTCCCAGCACGTACCTCCGTCTTGTAGAAGCGGTGGATGGCGCTGCTGATGGTGCAGCCCACGAAGCCCTCGGCCGCGTCGGGGTTGTGCAGGAAGCGAATCTCCAGCGGTGCTGCATCCTCACCCACGTCAATGGCCTGCACGTAGGTGTGGGTCGTCCAGTCCCACACGTTCAGGCGGCGGCCGTAGCGCCCTGCGAGGGGGCAGGGGGTTCTGAGGGGTGCTGTGGGGAGCGGGGCCACCACAGATGTGCCATGGACCCAGGTGAGCCCCGATGGCCCCCAGCACAGATGACAGAATCACAGTTGTTAAGGTTGGGAAAAGCCTCTGAAATCACAGTCTTTATAGACTCAGTAAGGTGGGCGACGACCTTCAAGGACATCAACCCGTGGTGGACCTGACGATCTCGACGTGGTGGTCGACCCATCACCACCACGCCAACCGAACCATGGGCTGAAGAGCCACATCTACGTTGCTCCTGCTGGGTCCCACCAGGGAAGATCCTCGTTAGGAGGAGGCCTGAAGGGCAGGGACACCAGTGGAGGTGTTGGGCTGAGCTGGGGTTCATCCCTCATCCCCACTGCTGAAATCCAACCTGTGTTGCCTGTGTTTTAAATCCAAGTGAGCTGTGGGAATTTGTGTGCAAGACAGCAAGCAGGCTGTCTCAATTTGCTCCATGTCCACTGAATTGTCAGAAAAGGGCTGAAATTTGGCCTCGTGGCAGTGCTGCTCAGCACCTCTCCTGGAGTACTTCAACAGCAGTTTCCTCACCTTTCTTCAGGTCATTTGGGTTAAACCCGTATCCCAGGCACTTGGGGATTCCCCACTCCGTGCTGATCAGGACGTTGTGGCGCGGTTGGTACCAGAAGTCGTAACCCATCGGCGGGTTCTTGTCGCCCTTCTCCCAGTTCCCCTTGATGTCGAAGGTCTCTGCATCCAACAGAACGAAGCCACCTGCAGCAAAACCAAACACGCCTTGGTAGTGAGGAAACCACCCAGGTGAACTAAGATAACACCCAGGTTGTGTTCTAAGATAACAAAATATGGAGCAGGGTGCTGCAGACATCTTGGGATGGTGCTGGACGTGGGACCGCTCGCCCGGCCCCATACCTTTCCCATTGCCGGCCGGGTCTCCCAGCGTGCTGATCATCACCTCTCCGCTGCCCAGGCAGTGGGAGGTGTGCAGGTAGCCCAGGTCACACTGCCAGAAGACGTCCTCCGGATTGATGACCTGCAGGATTTCACTCTCTCCATGAGCTCTCCCTGGTGATGTGGCACTCATGAGGCTCGCAGGGCTGGCGGTCCCAGCACCGCCTCCAACGTACCTTGAAGAGCCTGGGAGCTCGGGGATCGGTCCCCACATCCACCACATAGATGCGGGAGGAGATCAGGCTGGGGAGGATCAGGCGGTTCCTCTTCTTGGTGGTGTCCCCAAAGCAGCTGCTGCAGGTGTTCCAGCCCGAGTGGTGCAGCTCATCCCCCAGGTTGGGCATGGGCAGGCGGTGGATCACCTGCAAAGCCCAGTCCCACTCACACGGAGGGTCAGCCGCTGCCACCCGTTCAGCACTGAGGTGAAGCGTCTGGTACCTGGCTGTAGTGCGGAGATTTGGGGTCAACATCCACAGTGGCCAGAAAGTCGGGTTTCCCCCTGCCGGTGTTCCTGTAGATGCAGGGCACGTACACAATCTCCTCCCGCGGACCTTTTGAGATGGAAACATGGCTTGCAAAGGTGTCTGCAGGAACAGCCGGATTCCCACATCCCTGCATGCCTGGGGCTGGAGATGGCTGCCCCGGGGGAGCTGGGCTCATTGGGTTTGGGGTATCCTCCTCCCTATGGATTGCCATGGCCGTGGGTCACTCCACCCGGTCCCATGAACCAAAGCACGCTGTGCTCTCATGCATAGGCTGTGATTTTCGGGTGGTGCTGCGTGGAGCCAGGAGTTGGACTCAATGATCCCAACTCACTGGGTCCCTTCCAACTTGGGATATTCTATGGGGTCCCTTCCAGCTCAAGGTGTTCTATGATTCTGCATGTCTCATTTCCACCATTTCCATCAAGCCTTAAATACATGAGGAGTGGAAAGGTGGAACCCTCGCCAGGCTGAAGCCAAGGGCACAAAGATCCCACTGAGCAGTGAAGCCCTGCTGGGTTCCCAGGCAGAGTGTGGTGACCCCCAGCACCCCGACCCCACCGGCTCCTCGCTCTGCAGGGGTGGCACCATGTCAAAAAGTGCTGACCGAGCAAAGCAAAGCGAGGGGGTGGAACTGGTCTGAGAAATGCTGAGGAGGCAAAGAGGTGGAAAACAGGGAGAGGTGATCTGGGAGCCTGGAGCTGATCCAAAGCAGCAATAGCTGCTGCCTTTTCAACACCGTGCCTCTATCAGCCCTTTATCAGTCTTTAAGCACTCAGTCCTTTGCTGTAGTTTGCTTTGCTGAAAGGTATTTAGGGATGGGAGTCACGGAGCAGCACCAAACTCCAGGACTGAGGTTTCGGAGCTGTGCTTGCATAGCACAAAGGATTAAGGAAGGATTAAGGGAGGGACTGCAGCAGGTGATGCTTTCCTTGAGCTCTTCACACGAGAGCTCACAGTCCTGGCAGTGCAGCCAGAAGGATTTCCAAGCAAAGTTCCTGAGCAAACAGCCTGGGAGGGCGGATTTTACTGCAGGAGTTCTGAGCAGTCACCAGGAGCAGAGCTGACGCCGTGTTCAGGAGGGTGTCCGGAAAATCCGGAATTCCCCTCCAGCCTTCTCCACTCCCTGCAGATTTGAGAGGGGCTGCAGCAGCACCGCGTTCCCTCTGGGTTCTGCCCTGCACAGCCTTGGGTGGCTCTGTGCAGGTTGTGACCCATCCCAAGCTATTCTGAAGTCTGAAAAATTCTGACACCGTGATGCAACTGAGGCTTGGCCCCAGACGAATGCTTCCCTGGCTCCTGCTGGGAACCTCCTCCGTGGATGGAGCTCATTGATCTTGAAAGCACTGCTCTCATCTTCACCTTCACCTGCAGCCAGCACAGGGCTGGTCCCCACAGCCCCACGCAATGCACTCACCTTTCATGGCGTCCAGGGGAGAGGCATAGCCGGGACCGCACGCTCCACACCGGGCTGCGTTGGAAACAAGAAGGAATGGAAAATAGGTGGCAGTGAGAGATTTGAAAGCCCTTTTGGCAAAGGCCAAGTGCCTCATTGGAGCCACTGTGGTCTAAGAGTATCCCCTGCGGCAGTGGGACCACATCAGCCCCAGGCAAGGCAGGTGGTGGCCCTGCAGCACCCACCAGTGAGGATGAAGATGGGCATCCAGAGTGAACCAGGATGCCCACATGCGCCCAAAGAAGTCCCCAGACCCCGCGCCTCCAAAAGGATCCCTCCAAGAGGTGTTAAAGATCAGGTGGACGGGGTGCAGAGCACCCGATGGAGCTGAGGATGTCCCTGTTCACTGTGTGGGATTGGGCTGGACAGCGTTCAAGGGTCCCTTCCAACTCAAACGATTCTGTGACCTTAATGATCATCCATGGAACCATGGGATGGTTGGGTTGGGAGGGTCCTTACAGATCATCCTCAGAACCATAAAACCATAGAAGAGGTTTGGGTGGAAGGGACCTTGCCCTGTTCATCGCAGTGGCGTGAGACCAGATGGCCTTTAAGAGCCCCTCCCAGCTCAAAGGATTCTGTGATTCTTTGTTTCTGATCTTCCCTGTTTAGGATGGCGAGCCTGAGGAGAGGGAGAGAACCCACAACCATCAAACCTCACAACGCAGCTTTGCTGACTCAGTTTCATGTTTGCTTTTGAAGGTTTTCTCCCTGAGGACAGCACGTTCTGCAGGAAGCAAGGGGCATGGGGCTGCTGTTCCTTACCCGGAGCATCGTGGAGCCACCCCTTCTCCCTTCCCCTGCAGAAAATGCCCCACCAAACCCAAACTTTGCATTGAGGGCTCCCTGCCAACGCACAGCACGGTTTGTTACAGGTGCATAAAAGTGGGAATAAGCGGACAAAAAGAAGTTAGAATGCTTTTAATTATCACTGTGCCTAAATGCTACCTGGCAGAGGAGAAAAGGATCCGTCTCCAGGCAGAGAAAACACCACGCTCATCCCCACGTGTGGAAAGCTTTGTGCTTTCAGAGCGTCCCAGGAGCAGAACTTCCAGGAGGAGATTTGAAGGACCACAGAGCCGAGCAGGCAGCCAACCACCACAGCCCTGCATGCACAGAGAGGTCACTTACCAGAGCTGGAGGCTGTGCTGGATGTCATCTTCTGGTGGGGAATGGAAGGAGCTGATTCTGCCTGCATGCTGCTGCCCGGACCACGTCGGTGAGGAGATGCGTCTCCACGGGGCTCCAATATATAGGGAGAGCAATGGGGAGAGGGCTGGTGTGAAAAGGACACCGAGGGAGGATCCCCACGCCCCAGGGTGTGGGAGGCACCGGGGCAGCGCTGGAAACGTGTGGGGAAGTATTTCAGAACCTTCTCTCCTCCCACAGACGGAGGGCAAACGGTGGTGGCTGCACTCCACAGCGTCACACTGAGAACGCAGTGGAGATTTGGGGTACGGGGAGAAATGGGGCAGCCCCACTCCTGCGGGTCTGTTCTGGAAGTGCTGTCTGGAGCTTCCCCGTGTGGTGCCCCCAGCGAGGCGTGGGCGAGCACAGACGCTCCCAACCACAGAAATAACTTAATGAGGTTGCAGATATTAATCGCCAAGTGAAAATTAAAAGTGAGGACTGGGTTTCTTATAATTGCAGGGTGAGCGCTTGCCGTGCGATGGCGGGTGGGAGAAGCGATGCAGCAGGTTTCCCTTTGACACATCCGACCTCGGCTGCTGCCTCAGGCACAGCTTCACCGGCAGGTTCCAGCCCTGTCATCTGCACCCACCCCAGGGGGGGAGCTTGGACACAAAGCCCCCCTCCACCCAAAGATCTGCACCCAAAGCAAAAAGGCCCACAGGTGCGGCATCAGCAACTCCTGCCCCACCTCCACCTGCTGAGGCTCATCTGAGTGCATTGGGTGCTTCAAACCATGATGGGAGCTGTAGGGCCACGAGGGGCTGTTGGACATGAGGGACTGCAGGACAAGAGGAGATGCACTGCAGTGAGGAGCTCTATGCCACCATAGAGCCTTCTCTGCTCTGGGCCAAACAAACGGAGCAACCAGAACTTCCAGAACTCCTGCACACCTCATTTTGGAGGCTTGCTTTCCTCCCAGGACCATTAAGGGTACAATAACTTTGACCATGGGAAGTGTGGAGGAAGTCAATGTTCTTCCGAGAACATGAAAGGCTGAAATTTAGAAGCATACCCTTTATACTCTAACATTTGCAGACTCCAAACTAATTATGGCTGCAAATTGTGCCTGCGTGGAGAGTCTCGAGGCAAATGGGACTAATGGGAACATGGGTGGGTGTGCAGAAGGGTTTCTGCAGCACATCCCTGGGGCAGCGTTTGCTGTCCTGCACAACAAGCAGGATTCCATTGCAAGAAGGGGCTCACATTGGAAAGGCTTCTGTGAAGTAAGACGTGAAGACCAAGGTGATGCAAAGAAGAGTTTTATTCATGTTTGAAGCAGAACACCAGAAAAGCAGCATCAGGAATCAGGCATCCCTTTCTGAATGAAGCACTTCACGCTCCTTCAGCGACGCAACACCTCCTGGCCCAGGCGCTGGCACGTGCCAGCAGGCTCCATGTGCCCCAGTGCCAGGGAAGGACTGCCCAGCAACAAACGCGGCTGAAGAACAGCAACGCAGACAATGTGGGCATTTCACCTTCTGTGGCCTTCATCAGCGAGTGTGAGCAAGCTCTGAATCCTAACGGAGAGCTCAACGGCCTCCAGCAGGCTCTGTGTGGCACGGTGAGGCTGCAGATTGCAACTGAAGGGAGCTGTGCGTTGTGCACGGCTCAGAGTCTGAGCAAGGAGCCGAGCTCTGCTCTGGGGAGCGCACCCAGGGACTCGCGTGCACGGAAAGCAAAGGCTGCCTGCACTGGCTGCAGAAATGTAGCTTCCAGCAAGAAATGGGACCCCCAACCCAATCACCCCACGCTCCGTTTGATGGCTGCACTACAGACTAGAGAGAAGAAGGGAGCCGCGCCATGGCGCCTAGGCGGAGATGTCGGAGGTGGAATCTCCGCAAGGGAAGCGGATGTCGTGGGCAAGGCAAGGCCCGTTGGGCTCCTTTCCAAAATCCACCAGGAAGTTCTTGTTCACCATCAGGCCTCCCTTCTCCGTGTCCACATCGATCTGCAGCATGACAGAGCCTTCCCTGCGAGGGGCGAAGGAGCAGCGTTGCAGACAAGAGCAGCGCCACGCAACCTTTGCCATTCCCACCCCCGAGGGATCACCCAAAAGGGCCCCTTTCCTCCCAGAGGTTCCTTACTTGACCACGTTCGGGTAGAACTGCTTGTCCCAAGTGCTGTAGAAGGAGTTGGTGACGTACAGCCTCTTGCCATCCACGCTGAGCTGGATCTTAGCGGGGCCGCCGTACACCCGCTTGCACTGGAGGCACAACAGAGAGCAGTGGCGTTGCTGGCTGCTTTCTTTCAGCAGACGAGCAAAAGCAGGAGCAGCAAAAGGCAGCGCAGAGCAGAGCCCGAGTGCGGAGGACGCCGCGGGGCAGAGCCCGCAGAGCTCACCTTGATCACCAAGGGCTCCGGCTGGCACTTCAGCTCTTCATCTCTGCACACCGTCACGGGCCCGCCTCGCAGGATGCTGCCTCCCACAAACACCTGCAGGCAAGGCAAGGAGACGCGTGGCTTGGCACCCAACCACCGCCACCCACTGCCACGGAGCTGCGAGCGCAGCCTCCTGCCCCCGCCTCACCTGTCCCACCAGCCGGGGCTTGCAGGTCCTGGAGATCTCGTACTGGCGGATGTCTCCGTGCAGCCAGTTGCAGACGTACAGGTACTTGTCGTCCAGGGAGATGACCAGGTCGCTGGGGAAGGCTGGGAGGGCAGAGAAGAAAGAGCCGTGGGTGAGGCGGCGTCCCCAGAAGACACCCTGCACGGCTCAACGTGCCGGGAGGAAATGCGGAGCAGCACGGGGGGCTCACCCGGCATCTTGGGCAGAATCCATCCCGACACGTCCTTGGCTGGGATCTGGATGGCCTCTTCCACTGCCCAGCTGTCTCTCTGCACAAGAAACGCACGGCTCACACCGGCGGCGAGGCTGGCGCTCCTCGCTCTCAGCTCCCCGCCCTCCATCGGGGCACTCAGCCGCTCCCAGAGCCGGGGGCCCCGGGGCCGCAGGCCCAGCACTTGCCTCGCACTTGTAGAAGCGGTAGATGACGCCGCTCAGGGCACAGCTGACGTAGCCCTCGGCAGCATCGGGGTTGTGGAGGAACTTCACGCTCAGGGGCAGCGAGTCCTCCCCCAGGTCAAAGCACTGCGTGAGGGTACGGCAGGACAGATTCCACACGTTCAGGCGGCGCCCGAAGACCCCTGAGCGGGGGGAGGAGAAGTGAGCCGGGAGGGGCGGGCAGCCCTGGAGGTGGGCGACACCTACAGCGCTCTGCCCGTCCCCTCCCTCCAGCTCCCACCCATCCTGGAGTTCCTCTGCATCGCCCGTCAGCCTGCTGAGCGCTGCCCAGCGCCTGCATCCGCGTTCCCTCACCTTTCTTCAGATCATCCGGGTTAAATCCCCGTCCCGCAATTCTTGGCACCATCCCGGCGGTGCTGATGAGAACGTTGTGGCGTGGCTGGTACCAGAAGTCATAGCCTGTTGGGGGAACCTCGCACTCGTGTTCCCAGTTACCCTTCAGCTCAAAGGTCTCTCCATCCAGCACAATAAATCCACCTGTGGCACCAGAGGGAAGCACAGCACATCACTTCTAAGCGCGAAGGTCGGATGGTAGCTGCAATGACCAGCCCCTCTGAATACTTTCTGCCTTTAGATACTGAGCTGCACAGGCTCTGCAGGTTCTTGTTTTCATAAGAACCTGTGCAGTACAGCTTTCCATCTGAGCTATGCAGAATTTTCTGAACCAAAAACTTATCCCCGCTTCATAATGCAAGTCTTTGCTTTAGTGTGCACGCGGTGACCACGTTACCAGTGTTGGCTTTGCTCACCCCATCTCCCTTTCTGAAGCAGGGATGGATGAATGCCTTCCTCACACAGTAGGACTGCCTGCCTGAGTCTGCAGAGAGCAGCTGTGCCTCTGCTCTTGTCTTCGTTTCCCCACACTGCACCTCATGCTTGGGCTCATGGCTGTATGAAATACTTGGCGTTCTCAACAGTTAGCTCTCATTTGATGTTTGAAACTCTGAAAGTCTGTGGTTCATAAGCTGCTTATTTTGCTAACAGGAATCATGTTACTGGAACGATCTGGAGGAAATGTACCTTTTCCATGGCCAGCTGCATCCCCCATGTTGGCAATCAGAATGTCACCGTTGGGCAGGCTGTGAACTACACTAAGGTGGCCCTTGTTGCACTTCCAGAAGACATCCACTGGCTCAATCATCTGAAAAACAAGGAGACACACATGTAAACCTCTGCCTGATCAGCTCATTTCAGCTTTTTGGGGTGAAAAAGGCAGAGCCTTTTACCATCAGAGGATTCTGAATGCACCAGACCCTCGGAAAGGAGCAGAGAAGCCACTGAGCTCTCCTTTACATGGGCAGCATGGATGGAACAACATCCAACAGGTAAGAGCTTGCTTGTCCACCTCAATATGAGGGGTATTGGTATGGGCTGTGTGACACGATCTCAAGTTACTGGACACTCCCTGAATGCAATAGGGAAAAAAGTGATGATGGGAGTCTTCTTTGGTCAGATAGAGTGAGCTGGTAGGGAAACTTGTCCCAACTCTGTAAAACGAAGGGGTAAGAGGAGGAGAGGACCTTCTCCCTCTGTGTTACTCCAGAAGCACCAACTCACAGCCCCTTTGAAACAACTTGTTGGAGTCACTCCAGACTTACCTTACACACTGTGGGACCCCGGCACTGCGTGCCCACATCCACCACATAAATACGGGAAGAAATCAAACAGGGGAGGATCAGCTTGTTCTTTTTCGTTGTGATATTGTCAAAGCAGACTTTGCCAGCGCTCCACCCTGAACAGTGCAGCTCGTCTTTGAGGTTGGGCACGGGCAGGCGGTGGATCACCTGGGCAGCCAAAGGTAGAGTCAGGGTTTAGTCGAGGAGATGGGTGGAAACAGCTACCTTCAGCAATCAACAACTTAGAAGTGGAAAGGTCGAAGCTTTAAAGTAAGGAATCGTTTCAAAGAAGCACAAAGGATGTGGTCAGTTGGCCTGAGCAGCCATCAGAGACAGGTAGGTGCTCGTTTCCCATTGGGATTTCAGCAGCCAGGTTGGGGCGGTGCGTAACAGAACATCTCTGAAATTGCAGTGCACCAGAAACATGCTGAAACCTGCAGAGGTGCTGAGAAACCAAAACCACCTGGGTCACTGGTGGCCATCTTTGCTGATGAAGAGCCACTGACAGGAGGTTCTACTCAAAGCTTCACTTAATGTCATAAGAAGTGAGATATGAAGTGAGTCACAGCTGGTGTGTGCACACAGAGATGGAGATGGTTCAGCAAGAGCCAGGCACACTGGGGACAGCGCAATGGAGGAAATGCCATGGATCTGGAAGGACAGAGCCAGCAGTGATCATCAGGCCAAGAAGAGTCTGGGCACAGTACCTGGCAGTAGTGCGGAGATCTGGGGTTGAGATCAATGGTGGCCAGGAAGTCAGGTTGGTTGATGCACGTTTCTCGGTAAGTACATGTCACATATGCAAGCTCTTCCTTAGGAGCTAGGTGTATGGAGCATCAGCGTTAGAACATGCAATGAAATAACAGCAAAGGCAAATGAAAGCTTCAGGAGACTCTCAGGACGAACGAGGAACAGGTTGCTATGAGATGTGGTGGTGCCCCATCCCTGAAGACACCAAGGTCGGGCAGGATAGGGCTCAGAGCACCTGAGGGAGCTTTGGATGTCCCTGTTCATTGCAAGGTGGGACAAGATGACCTTTAAGGGTCCCTTCCATCTCAAAAGATTCTATGATTCTATGATAATAAGCTTGATTTTCTGCTGCCATGACTGGACCAGAGGTAAAGCACAACACAAGTGGATGACTGTATAGCTACAGTATTCACCTTTCAGGAAGGGACTCAGTACATGCAGTTAATTAAGGGTGGTCTGGGAAAGACAGACTTGATCATCGTCCAACCTGAAGCTGAGTCAGAGCTGTCACAAACACCTACCTTCAGAGCATGGCTGATAGCACTTGGGTTTCACTACATCAGGGCAGCTGGGGTACTGGTAGCACTGAACTCTGCATCTGTCTGTGGTGAGAAAAAGAAAACGAAATGGGAAGTGCCCACATCCTTCAGTGGTGCCGACTCAGAAGATTCTGTCCCACTCAATGGACTTCTCCCACCCTGGCTGCCAACAAGGACTCCATGACCAGCAGCTCTGTTGGCGGTGGCCTCAACAGATCTCAGGTACAGCAGAGGAATCCTCCTCCAGGTGCCACTGGGCACCATGGAGTCTTTGAGGCTGAAAAGACCACCGAGAGCATCAAGCTCAGCCTCTGACCCATCGCTCCCATGCCCACTAAACCATGACCATGGGGTATCACAGATCAGAGCACTGCTCCATTCGAGGGAGCTGACGTGGACAACATGTCAGCATTGAAGCCCTAGGAAGAAAATAACTCCAGCTTCTCTTGGAGCAATTCCCCAGCAGAAGGGGAGCACAGATCCCACAGCCAAATGGAAATTGATTGTCAAAGCGCAAAGAGGCCCCTGGGAACAGCGCTAAGGGAGGCTGCAGAGCGTTCCTTACCCATGCTGAAGGCCTTCTGGTTGACTGTCGCCAAGACGGAGGTGCTGGAGCTGAAGGAGCAGCTTGCTGTGTGCCTCGCTGGAGTGGATGTGTAGTGGCAGGGCTCGGAGGGGCCTTATATACACGGCAGAGGGGTGGGGGGCAGCAAGCAAGCTGCCAAGGGAGGAGCAAATGCTCCCAAGCGTTGGGAGGTGCCAGACCAGCAGTGTGGCTTGTTTCCGCCTTGCTACCCAGCAATCTAGAGGAAAAATCTGCTGTTCCATGCAGGTCCTTTCCTCAAGCACAAGCCACGCGATCAGATTGCGGGGCTCTGCTCATCCCCAGTGGGACTTGGCCAGGCTCTGCTGGCCTCCATGGCCCAGGCAGGACATCAGCTAATTAACGCTGTCCCCCATCCCCGGGTTCTTGCCTTACCAATGTGCAGAGCCTGCAAATTCCACGTGAGCGATGAGAAGCCCATCTAGATAATTGCCCCACC